AGTTACGTTTTCCCATTCCTTTTTTTTTTTTTTTTTTTTTTTTAAAGAGTAATCTTGAAGGAGAACCACACACAAACAACCCCCACCACCCCAGGCGAACAACGGAAGCCATATCTAAATCTCCATAAAGGAAGGAAGGAGATCTGGTTCCATGCTTTCAGCACATCACTATCACATTTGCTCACGTATGCAAAACATTTGCTAGCATGCAAGGCCTGTTTGCTGCAAGACCCTGGGCACTGAGGCGACCAAAAGCAGGAGTCAGCAGGAGGATGCATTACCAATTCCCATCGCTTGGCGGGCCTGAGATTTCTGAGCTACTGGAATGCAAATAAACAAACCCATACTCTGGATTTGTGCCCCATATGAGTTCCTCAAGTTCCAAGAAGTCTTGTTTTTATTCATCTTCACATTTGGGATTTGTGCAATGTCGACCAGAATGTTTCAGCACTTCTTAAAAACAAGAAATAAGCCCCAAACAAACCAGAACTAGTCTACCATAAGTGACATTTCTAACTCTTACGACTCGATTGTAAGCCTCCAGACATTTGATCGCTTGTATCAAATCCCTGCTCTTCAATATAGGTGACCACAACATAAATTTTAAAGTTGAGATGATGTTAAAGTAACTTTCTAACCCCTTGTGGTTTCAAAAAAAGTGCTTAAAAATGCAACCCAAGTGCACAGAAAATGATCCCAAAACCTAAACCGACCGAGAGCTTCTTAACTTGAGGGGAAATCTGACACATTTCAGATTTGCAGATGGCACTATTAAACAAGTCAACTGCTACATTTTTAGAAGTCTGTCAGTTGTCTTAGACAGTGATCGTAACACCACCACATAAAGGGGCCTATGAATTTGTAGAAAGGGTCCTGATGGGGTCACAGCTACTACCGGCTTCCTCAGGTTTTACCAGCCAGCTAGTGAAGTATTTTTCCCTTCTTCCAAAGAAAACGTCCTCACAGGATGTGAGCCTCATGGTACATGACTGTTTCAAACTCCACAACCGTTTTGGAGAGTGAGAAGTTACTGCTACCACAGCTAAAGCACTTACAAGAACCTGCCAGCTCAACCAGTGGTGTTTCAGGAAATGACCACTAAGACGTTACCCACCAAAATAAACCAACTGCCCTTATTTTTCCATGACCGCTCCATGGTCACGAGCAACCCTGGAATATTCCAACAACCATGACAACCCATGAAGGAGCTCAGGTCAGCGGCTGTCCTAAAAGACAGGGCAAGAAATGCGTGGGCTTCTCTGAGACTTGCCCCAAGGGCAGACTGACACAGCAACATGAGCAAGCTCACATCAGACCCCGTCCAGTCAGTAATTATTGCAGTGATTACAAAGCCTTCAGGACTGTCAGTTCTGCTGGTTTTTACTAGCAATAAATTCCCTTAGAAGAAACAGAGCAAGAAGTTACGGTTGCTCCTACTCCACCTCCTCCACAAGAGCCTGTACTTTCAGTGCTGGTGCTCCCACACCAGGCTGACCAGCTTAAGTGTAAGATGAAAGTTTCAGAAGATCTTACTGCTACTTTGCTTTTCTGCTTCTAAAGCCCTTAGTCTGGACTCTCAGTGAAGTCCTTCTCTTACCCATCCCTGCCAAAGAGGATCCAAGAGGTCTTACAGTGCAGAGGCTAAAACGCAGCCAAAGCTGCTTCTCCTCTTGGACATGCACGTGGAGCCCAGCAAAAAAAATGGTCCAAACCCAGAGGGCTCAGTTTTGCACACAAGCACACATACGAACAGTTTCCATTTCCACCAGTGGGGGGAAAAAAAATAAAATAAACAGTCCCCATGGAAAGCAGTAACGCGCAAGGGTCAATGAAGCAACTTCCATAAGCTCTTACCAAGTGGCCAGGATCCAGAGCAGCATCCCGGCCCCGCCAAGGGCGAGATGTTCTGTCCGTCAGATAAACAGAGAGGGCCAGAGCCCACTGCCAACACCTGCGTCAAGCTAACGAACCCACAGCTTCAACGGCGGGATGTTTGCAAAACTAAAAAAAAGTCCAATTTGCTGGCTTCAGAATGCCAGCCCTGTTGATAAAGTATGAAATATTAGCATTGTTTAAGGTGACGAGCCTGACTCAAGGCCTCCTCATCCAAGAATTGTCATGCCTGTAACACAATATTGATGTGGTGGCTTATAATTCTTACTTTACATAAAAGCTTCATTGTGTGCCAAATTCAATCTCCACAGGCTACCTGAGCCACAGATTTTTACGAGTCTACATTTCAGCGCTGCGAGTCTACAATACACATAATTTTCAATTATGTTAGGGCAGAACAGGATCACTGCCTATATAACATTACTGGTTGGAGGAAATGAGACTCAGCCCTACTGCCGAGAGAGCTAACTGGATCCAGATGGCGGGCCGGGCGAGGCAGCCGTCCGAGGGAGCGATGTCGCAGCAGCCGCCCCCTTCGCGATGGAGGGAGACTCCAAGCCATCGGCCGGGGCTGGGAGCCGGGAGGATGCTTGGCGGGGGGGGGGGGGCTGCACTGCGGTACGGGGAGGGCAAAGAGGCGCGATTGCTTTCGCAGGTTTACTACTGCTGCCCTATGCTGAGATATTCTTATTAAATAGGAGAAAAATTAAGTCCTGTTACAGCGGAGAGGTAAATCCTTTCCTTCCTCAAGCAACTAAATAGCAGGAAATCCTCTTCTCTCGGCCCTAAACGCAGATTTGAGCCAGACGGTTCCTCTGATTTGCAAGGAGTCCACAAAAATCCGAAGCCGACTTTCCCAGCCTTCTGACACTGCTTTTACATTCCTGCACCGGGGGGGAAGGGTAGGAGGGAGGGAAGTTCCCACCATCCTGCTCCTGCGAAGGCTGGACACACGCTCGCTCCTCTCCTGCTTCTGTGTCTCAGCGTGGAAATTAGGACTTGCCTGTACAAACACTGAACTTTTCAACAAATTAACTCTAACAAATCTGCACAAATTATTTCGGAGCAAAACTGTTGAAATGGGCTCTGCTGGCCTGCTTTTAACATTTTTTAAAATAATGTCATCTTGCCATAAGTATTTTATTCCCTGTTTAACAATATGATCTGATGGGGATCATTAGCGTGTGTGTGTTTAAAAAAAAAAAAAAAAATGTTTTATGGCAAGTCTCAGAGAGCTTAAGCAAAATAATTGTTAAGCTCCAGGCCTCCGCACAAAAATTAAAACACGTATGGGGTGAGCGTACTTGAGAGAAACCAAAGCTTTTAAAAAGGCTGTTAAATTGTCAGCACAAGGGAAAAGGCAAATGATTTGAACAGCCCAGATTTTTTATTTTTTTTTGTAAAAGGGCAACAAAAAAAACCCTCCCTTACCCTCCACTCCTGCAAGCAGCACGTCCTCACCTCCCATCTGCAACCAGAAGGTCCTGCAAA